GTTCTGATTTAGCCCAAACCAGGACACAAAGTCTGAACACAGGGCTTGGCTAGGGACTGTACACCATGATGACAGAGGTATAATACTGACAGATCCCAGTTCAGAAACTGGTGAGAGTGCGATTCTGCAGTTTCCTCATGTAGCTCTTGATTTAATTTTTTTTTTTTTTTAACCTCTTTTCATTGTAACTGGTTACTTATATTAGGGTAAAAGAGGTGCCTTTTAACTTCAGGATGCTTCACATCCTGTTTTCCTTTGCTTCTAGTTAAAGATATGCCTAAAGATCAGAGCAGCAGGAAGTCAGTCCCGTGTGTTTCTCAGCCACTGTGCTTGCTGGTAGGTAGGGGAAGGTGAGATCTGGTGTTCTTGGATAAAACCAGCTTACTTTAGCCCTAAGTAAGGGGAATTTCAATCTAAACACTTCCCCTGTCCATTTTAAGAAAACTGAAGAGCATCAGGGTGGAAAAACAGTGCATTAACTGCTCTACCAAGAGCTTGGCTAAAAACTCTCTTAGGCTAAAAAAAAAAAAAAGTCGTCAGTACTAAAACTGTGATGAAGCGTCTGTCTAAGACTGTAGGAACTCCTTCTCTTCCTCTTTCCCCCCAAACCCTCAGCAAAGCTGGGTGCTTCTGAGGTGCATAACCACAGAACTACGTTTATTTCCCATGCTCAGCAAAGCAGGGTGGGAGGACTCAAACCTGCTCCCACTCTGCCCGGGGACTACGGGGAAATCACTTCTCTACTCCTTTGCGCACTTTGCACCCTAGAAGATTCACAGCAGTGTGCACAAGGAGGCCTTGTCTCAGTGGGAGCCTCTGGATGCTACTCTGACAGTTAAAGGCCACAGAAAAGCCATATTAACTGTTTCCTCCCCTGGACGCTTTGGAGCTGGCTGTGCTCTGTAGGCAGGCTGTGGCAGTGACAGAGGAGGAAGTGTGAGCTGGAGGCTGGTGCCAGATAGGCAGTGGATTCCCTCGTCTTATGCATGCCCTTTTAATTTATAGATTTCGCTTGTAACCGCCATAGCCATACTTGAAAGTAGCGTTTCCTCCCTCGGCATGCTCGGCGTTATTAATAACTTTGTGGATTCCATGTGTTCCCTAGACATGGAGAATGTTCCCTGGTTTCCAAAGAAGATCTCAGATTTGGATAAGTGTGCAAACAGAGTGCTGATGTATGGGTCTGATTTGGACGCTGACCATCCAGTAAGTATTTTTCCCTTCCTACCCAATACTTAGTGAAAACATACTTTATGGAGCTTTAAAAAAAAATAATGTAGCTTTTCCTCCTCCCTCTCCTTCCTCTTAACGGCGCCTCTGTGGGTCTGAGCACCTTCTCTTGGGGGTTTCATGTCTTTTTCCTAGTTCAGGTAAGGCTGTCACTGACTTCAGTTCCTGTGCCTTTCTGCAAGGCTTACTTGTGTGAGGACTCCAGGTCTGGGCCGTGAGTGGTCGCATATAAATAAAAAAAAAAAAAAAAAGAGAGAGAAGAAGCAAAAGCTGTTGTCAGGCAGGCTTGGTTACTCCTCTTTCTTTCTTCCTTACTGTAGTTGGAGCAAACAAATTGGTACTTGGGCAGTGCAAATGGGCAATTTGTTCTGTAATTTAGAATAATCAAGCAAGTGACAAAGTTTGTATAAATACTGATGTGGCTAAAAGGAATCCTTGTCTACTGAATGTATAGTTGCATGCGTAAACCTGCTGATTCTTACTTTGAATTGGAGTATTTGCTTAGTTAACGGTTATTAAACGTTCCAGACTACTGCTATGAGTCCTCGCCCTGTCCTCTCATTTTTACACAGCATACTTTTATATTTCCCAACTGAAGAAATGTCCAGTGCCTTGTTTTAAATTAATTTATTTACTTCAGCTTGGAAACTCATTTAACTTTGTTTTTCTCCTTGCACCTGCCAGGGTTTCAAAGACAATGTCTATCGCAAGAGGAGAAAGTATTTTGCAGACCTGGCTATGAACTACAAACAGTAAGCTTGACTTCTTCCAGAATAAGCCTTCTGGGTGCCTTGAAATAGTAGCAGAGTGGACTGGCAGGAGCTCACCTTCCCTGGGCTCTGATCTTGCTGGGACATGCTTGGCTCGGGAGTTGGAGCCAAGAGGGTACAACGAAGGGAGATGTAACACAAGATTAAAAGGTAGTTCTAGGCCATCTTACAGCTCCCCTGGCCTCTGATCAGGCTGAGGCTGTGGTTGCTTGGCCGTTATGGCATCCATGGCAGTGCTGATCCGCAGACAGGCAGCGATGCCAGCGTGTGCCTCCTGCAGCGCGGGGCATTCGGACTCTACGGTCCCTCCTCGCTTCTCTGGAGATGGGTGCAACAAAGGCAGAGGGCGGACGACGCATGCTATGCAGCTGCCTGTGCCAGGACGTACTGAGTCAACCAGGGCAGATTGGTCCCCTCTGTGCAGGAGAGGGAGGGGAGGCAAAACCCAATATGTAGCCCATTGACCACTGAGAGTAAACTCTCTGGGCAAATGTTAATGGTTGAATTTTCTTTCCTGGTTCAAACTAGTGCATGTAGATAAGAAGTTTTCTAGGAAAAGAAACTTGAAGAGCTTCTGTCTTTAGAGATGCTGCATGGGGGAGGGAGTTCTTAAAGCAGTAAGAGTTTCATAGCCCAGTGCTGTAAATTCTTTCTAAATATGATTTTTCATGTTGCTGTTGCCTGCTTGAATTTAGATGCCAAGTTCCTCAATTGGAAATGACCTAGAAATGACCTAGAAATGGTGGGTATCTAGAGCTCTTTTTTCCACTGTGTATTAATGCATCTGGTTACCACAGCACAGAGCTGGTTACTGTTCGTGTGTTGTTAATGGAGATTCCCTTGGGAAGGCATTTACCGTGCTGGTTACCTGGCTGGCAGCAGAGGCTCAGTGTAACACTCTCATTGCTTCCAGTGGGCTTTAGGTCACACCCTTGCTATAATCCACTTTAATCAAGATCCTGAGGGCTAAATAGGAGAGATGGACTGCAATGAATATGTTCAGACAAACTCTCGTCTCCTCCGCATAGAAGTATGATTTTTACCTAGTGTGTATATTTAGCTACTTCTATGCAATGTGTTGTCGATTTAGAGAATTCTCTTTTTCTAAAACAAATCAAAAAGGTAATGGAAAGTAGTTGTGGACAGGGAAGTCGAACGTGGTAAAGGATGTGTTCTCTACTCCTGAAGCTGTAAATGTTATGCAGGTATTTTAGGTGTTACTAGGAGTGTTAAACACCTAAGAAACTCTTTACAGAACTGAAGCTTTCAGGCTCCAGTGAGGTCAATGCAAAGGTTCCTGTTAGTTGATTTAAGTGGAAAAGAGAGCAAGCCCTTACACTAAAATCTCTCTAGGGCATAGACTAGATGTCACTGTGTATTTGACAGTGTCTAATGCACCCTGACCAGGTGTCACAGCTATATAGGTGTTAATAATAGTCGGTAAATGAGTTATCTGTTATTAGCCATTTATCTTTCTTCCTCTTCTCCTTGTAGTGGTGACCCAATTCCCAAGATTGAATTCACTGAGGAGGAGATCAAGACTTGGGGGACTGTGTACCGAGAGCTCAACAAGCTTTACCCAACTCATGCCTGCAGAGAGTACCTTAAAAACCTACCCTTGCTCACCAAATACTGTGGGTACAGGGAAGACAATATCCCTCAGCTGGAAGATGTGTCCCGCTTCCTGAAGGGTAACTTGCTAATTTTCTTACACAAAAAGGAACTAAGGTCCCTTGCAAATCACACTGCTGTTTTGCAGGAACAAGAAAACATCCTTGGTCCCTTTTGCTGATGTGCATTACGGTCCTTTAGGAGGCCTTTTGGCCATCTGTGTTTTAATGTATTGTCTTGAATATACACAAACAGTGACATTTGAGGGGCAATGCTACCTCTGAAGAGACGGTTAGGATTGGCTGAAGAGATACCTTGTTGTATTGTGTTGGCTCTAGGCATGAAATCTTAGGAAGTCCACTGACACAGAAGTAGGGATGTTTTTAATAAATGTTGGTCACTCTCGAGCTTAGGCCTAAATTTTCTCATCGTGCCTGATTTTCCCACATGCTCTTGAGCCAAGGTAGTGCTGTGGCTTTTACCCCAGTTGTAGCAGGAAAGGCGATAACATCGTGCAGTTCTGGACTAAACTAATGTACAATTTCTCTGTTCCCTTTCAGAGCGCACAGGTTTCACCATTCGCCCTGTTGCTGGATATCTGTCGCCCAGAGACTTCTTGGCAGGATTAGCATTCAGAGTTTTTCACTGCACTCAGTATGTTAGACACAGCTCGGACCCTCTCTATACACCAGAGCCGTAAGTCATTTCATCTTGGGGTAGAATTGAGAGTTTTGAATCTCACTGCCCAGAGCCAAGCTACTTAACGGCTGTCCAAGAACACCAGCAAGAAAACTTATTTTTAAGGTGTCTGAGACTTGGCCTTCACGCTGAATGTAACGAAGCTTTAGCATGCTCAAGTGCCACCTTCATAAGTACAGGATTCTCAAACATTTAGCATGTTGTTGGAGAGCTCTTACTGCTGTCGTTGTGTGCAGTTAGTTTAATGTTGAATTGCCTCATAAATGTGGAGCTCAGATCTTAATTTTAGACAGCTTCATTTGAAAATCTGAGTTGTGGAGTTGGTATGACCTGCTCAGTTGCTTCCAGCTAAACATAATTGACACTTTTCTGTCTTTTGGACATTAAATAGTTTAATGTAAGACATTGTATCTGTTGTGTGGTGCTGCTTTTTTCACTCTACCATGAAGACAGATCGTGAGATTTGTTGGTTTGTTTCTTTTTCCAGCGATACCTGCCATGAGCTCCTAGGCCATGTCCCTCTATTGGCTGAACCCAGTTTTGCTCAGTTCTCCCAGGAAATTGGTCTTGCATCACTTGGGGCATCAGATGAGGCTGTCCAAAAACTGGCAACAGTGAGTGTTTGAGTGCCTGGTTACGAGGCTTATCCCACTCCTTCGAATAAATTTGGAGCTTCGTGTCAACATTAGCCACACCAGCTGCTAGACCGATGTATTTCACTGGTCCTTTGCTTTTAGAGCATGTAACAATTTTCGGTGCTAGGAAAAAAATACATTTTTAAGGTTGATAAGGTTGGGATTTTTCTTCCCTTGACTGTCAAGTAAGGGTGCAACTTCTGGTGGTAGGTCACTTCTTCCAGACTGAAATTCTATGGTCTGTTTCTTCCAAACAAAATCTTATTACTTCTGAGAACATGATTCAATGATTTTAAAAGTAATCCTTTTCTTTAATGTGTAGGATGAATTGAAATGATACAGTGTTTTCATTGAATGTGGTGAGCTCTAGCATTAGATAATTTTCAGCCAAGAAATTCAGGTAATATAGATTAATCTTATTTCCTGGATATCAGTTTCTGGATGCTTTGGCAAAAATATTTTAAGATGAAAGTTAAATTTAGATGAAAAATAATTGTTGCCAGTTATGAAAGAACTGGTTTGCTGATTTAAAAAAAAAATTTATATTTCCCCAACTGGTGTAACTAGTGATAAAATTTCTAGTACCTTCAGTGGGAGCAGAACTAAGTCATCTATGAAAATAGCTCCCCCTATAGCTGCAGAAATCCTGAAATCCAGCAAACTAAACATCTTTAATTTTACAGGCCACTAAGCAAATGAGAAACAAACTGCAATGGGCTGATGTTTTCACTCGCTCACAGAGATTCTCTCAATCCAATGTTTCTTTTAAGTTGAAGCTGTGATGTCATGACAATATTTCTCAAAACAGATTTACATCTCGATGTTCCTAATGACATAAACAGCTTCTAGCCTAGCTAGGTGATCAATAATATCAGTCTTTCTTATGAGAAACACGCAGTCCCGTGATTCTTCATCCTCCCATTCTGGCTTCCTCCTCTTTAAATATCTGGGAAGGATAACCAAGTGATGACTGTCAGATATTTGCATCTGTTTGACACTACCTCCAAACAGAAATGCCCCCATCTAGTTCACCACAGCATCTTTGCTGAAGGCTGAATTGTTTTACTCCCTTCTCTGTTTCAGTGCTACTTCTTCACTGTAGAGTTTGGCTTGTGCAAGCAAGAGGGACAGCTACGAGTTTATGGGGCTGGCTTGCTCTCTTCGATTAGTGAGCTCAAGGTGAGAATATCTACTGCTTATTTACCTCTCTTCTTTTTTTGTACCTGATTATTATTGTCCCTGTTTTGCTGTTTTTTGTGAAGTATAATTCTAAAAATCTTTCTTTTGAAAACTCCTAGATACCTACTAGACTTTCACAAAATTCACTGGACAGTCTGCTTTTGGATAGATGCTGAGCAGCTCCTGTGTCTTTTGCAGGAAGCAGTAGATGATTGGGATTTCTTAATGTTAGGTTCCAAGTAACTCTTTTCAGAATAAAGCTCTGCTGGTTTAACCAGATTCTGAAAACATTGCTCTTGTTTACACGTGAGCCTCTTGTCTGAGGAATCCCATTTTTGACTCAAATTGGCAGAATATGACCGTTCAGAGTTATTCCATTTGTTAAGCTTTAATCACTGTTCATCTGCAGATAAAAATTTTAACAAGCAATGTGCTAAATATGGTCTCACCTAATCTTTTTTCATTCGTTTTACCTCGTGTCATCTTCCTCACGGATTCTTTGGGTGGTGATGTTCCTCCGACACATGGTAACACATTACATTACCAGCACTCACTCTCTGGCAGTGCCAAAGTCAAGCCTTTTGATCCAAAGGTCACCTGCAAGCAAGAATGCCTCATTACAACTTTCCAGGAGGTTTACTTTGTTTCTGAAAGTTTTGAAGAAGCAAAGGAAAAGATGAGGTACAGATTTTTTTATAAGAGCAGGTTTGATTTCATGCATCTCCCTCAGTGGCAGCACCCTTTTTATTCTTACCAGTTTTATAATTAGCTTTCCTGGGGTTGGAAAGCTGAGATGAGTATTTGCTTGGATCTTCCATGTATTGGGTGGGAAAGATGATGAACGACACAATTGCAACTATTTTAAAAGTAAGTAGTTTAGAAAAGTGTTTATGGATACTGACTGCATACAGAGGATGCATTTGTGTTTCGTTCATAACTCCCTCTCTTTTTTTACTTGAATAGAGAGTTTGCAAAAACCATCAAGCGCCCATTTGGTGTGAAGTACAATCCATATACTCAAAGCGTGCAGATCCTGAAAGACACGAAGAGCATTGCCAGTGTGGTGAATGAGCTACGTCACGAGCTGGACATTGTCAGCGATGCCCTCAGCAAGATGGGCAAGCAGCTGGAAGTTTAACACCGCTGTCAGCGGTGTGGTGCGCTCGGCAACTCTCTTATTTTCCCCACTGATTTCTTTCTAGGCATGTAATGTGTTGTATGCAGAACTCTCCCCTTTACAAATGGAAGAGTGAATGGCCCATAAGGATAATAACTTTAGCTTGTTTCTCCATGTAAAGTCCCTTACAGAATGTATTCCTCCATCCCCCTTGGATAAGAAAGGCCCAGTTGCCTTTGAGAAGTTTATGGGGGAGTAAAGACATTGCTCGACTGGAACAGAGATGTGGTCTGTGGATCAGGGCTGGGATCAGATGCTGCAGAAGGAGGCTTATGAGGCAATAATGGAATACGGGAAATGTCTGTTTCTGACTAGTAGTCTATGCTACTAATTGTATAGCATTGCAGACTTTATAGCAGAGCAGCAATAGTAATCAGTGCTTTGAAGTCTGTGGTACTCAGTTTAAAACTTGAATGATTACAACGCAGGCATCAGGACACAAATAGCAGGAGGTTCACCATGATAAAATTGAGGGGTCAAATCTTGCTTTCAAAGGGATCATTCTTGCCCTCAAAGACTTGCAAATGTGCTGTTCGACATGCTTCTAGTATAAGGCAAGAGTTACAGAGCTGTTCCATGAAATCCCAATTCTGTTTATTTTGAGAGACTTGCTATCGACTCGGAGTCAGGATTTTTATTGCTGTCCTTGATATTGCACCTGTGGGAAGACCCTTCCTTACAGAAATACCGTTTGCCTTTTTCCTGATTGAATTAATTTAGCAAAAAATGCAGCAAGCCATCAGGTACTGACTTAGCATAAAGCCTAAAAATACTTCCAAATTACAATTTAATATTCAAAATAGTTTCATCATTCTAAAATAACACCAAAGTTTAAAATAACAGCCAAAGTTCAGTCTAGTCTGCTTTTCGTAAGAATACTTATCCTATTGCTTGGCTCGTCACTTTATTGACCTGCACAAGCTGCACAAAGATACGTTTCATTTCTCTGTTACTGAACACCTTCGTTCCCTATCAAGCAAATGGTAACAGAAAGGCCCAAGCATTTCATCAGCATTCTGTGGCTGTGAATGCAACAAACTACCTTGTAGTGTGAAGTATGTCTACGTCAAATTTCAAAGAGCACTTTACAAGAGGTGGGAAGCAGTGTCCTGCTGAAAAAAAGCCAACTTTGCCGTTTTCAGGGCTCTGTAGTTTCAGGCATCCTGCATAGCTGTACAAAGCTGTGCCGGCTGCTGTTTCTGCCGACCCTGCCGATGCCATGGGTGTGTGTACAGGACAGGATACATCTGAAGGGAAGATCTGTGATGTGCAGGGTGTATGTCATAGGACGCTCGGCACCGATTCTTCATAAGTTGAGCTTGTCAGAAAATCCAGAATTTGCAGCTGTGGAGGTCACTGGAAAAACAGACTGAAACCGTGGATACACTAGAGATGTTAGTCCAGGATTTTGAGAAGTTGGAAGGACTTTCATGAACCTCTGTGCTTGAAAATCAATTGGAGTTTCATATGCTTTCCGGTAGGCTGCACCTGCTCCGTAAGCAATCGCTAGCCCAGTCTTTCCAAGTGTATTAACTCTTTAAATCAAGTCTAGATCATTTTTTTCTATGACTATTAAGCCAGTATAACTTTTCAAAGAACACTTAAGACGTAGAAATATGGTCTACAACACTTGTGGCTTACCTTACACTTAAAAATAGATTTTAGGAGCTTTGTCTTTCTGAAGAAGAAACCTTATAAATGAGTAGTAAGGGAGGATCTATGTTGTTTGCTTCTGTGGTAACAGTTAATATTCAGCTGCATTTTTAAAACCGTTGGGATTATTATGTTGCTGAAATATACACAGATCTGTGTTATTCAAATCTTTGTCAGAACTATGTATATGTTTCAAGTAGGAAACTTGAATTCTTGGTGAATACTTGGTGAATTAGCACCTGGTTTTGAATACTTTGGAAAAACAGCAGTTGTATCTTTATTTGCACTTATGTAGCATAAATTAAGTAAACTGCTAAAAGTAATACAGAGAAGATGCATTTCTATGGCATTAGTAACATGTGTGTGGCTTCATGTATCCAAAGCTTCTGGCTATGTAGAACAGCGATAATTTAAATATTTTAAACTATTGTGGAGGCTTTAAATGTCAATGAAATAAATGACTTGTTGCTAATTGTTAGAAGCAAAAACCCCTTTACTTTAGCACTGTGTCAATAAACACAAAGCACTCACTTCTCAGGGAGGGTTTGTATATTTTATACTGTGTTCAGATATTCCACACCTGTGACTTAATTCCATTGAGAGCGGTGTATACTCTTTTGAGGAGTGGCTTGTTTTCCCCTCCTTTTTAAAGGCTTGGTCTTTTTGTCTTTGACGCGGGGGGTGGTTAAGGAAGAGTTTCGCAGGCCCCGGCCCCGGCGGGTGCTCCCCCGGCCATCCGGGGGGATCAGTCAGCGCTTCGGCTTTTGGGGAGTTTTTCGTGAGCGCGGCATCCAGGGCTGGAGCCCGC